AGTTACTTCTTTCATACAAAAGTCATAACAAGATTTGTAGATCGAAGAAAAAAAGACTTACAGATTGAATTTAACTAGGTTTTCAATTTGTAATTTAATATGACAAATATTAACTTAAAACCCACTTAAGTAAATCTCATTGCTTTGTGCAAAGAATTGCCTCAGGGAACTAAGGAACTCTAATGACAAAAATAAAAAATTTTTGGTAGCTTTCATCTAAATTCAGTGGCTTTAGGAGTTCATCCCCAAACATCTGGAATAGCCAGATTATAGTAGAGGCTCTGGAGTACTTCGGATTAGTACCTAGTTTATGTTCTGAGAGTCTCAACCCTGAAAATTTGGGAAAGGGATTTATTGAAGTATAGTTGACACACATTTCAGGTGATTCAACATCTTTATATATTATGCTGTGCTCATCGCAAGTGTAGCTACCACCTGTCACCACACAATGCTATTATAACTCTGACTATATTGCCCTATGCTATGTCTTTCATCCCCGTGACTTACTCATTCCGAATCTGGTAGCCTGTATTTCCCACTCCCTTTCACCCATTTTGCCCTTCCCCCAACCTCCCTTCCCTCTGGCAACCATCAATTTGTTCTCTGTATTTACTTTGTGCTTCTGTTGCTGCTTTTTGTTTATTTGTTTATTTTGGGGGTTCCGCATACAAGTAAAATCATATGGTATTTGTGTTTCTTGTTCTGACCTATTTCACTTAGCTTAGTAAGTTTTTTTTTTTTTTTTAACAGATGTTGTATCATAACCAAAAAGTCCAGACATCCATCCAGGAAAGGGACACACCTGTTCTTTGCTAGGAGCACTCTGAAGGTAACTGATGCTCCAAGGACTCAGGTACACCACTCCCCGGAGGATGATATAAATGAAGCAAAGTAGAATTACTACACTGTTGCTGACTTTGGGGTAGTAGTCATCAGTAACAGGGTTTTTTCTACCTTCAAATAGTATTGTCATTCTATTAGCCAATGTTTTGAAAGAAATTTTTAAAAAACCAAACTGATACCTGATATCTGTAACATTGGTATCTGGCCTTCTGATATTACTAGTGTTTACAACCTATTGATAAGAAAACCTTTGAATCTGAATTCTCTTTACAAAGAAAATTTTTTAGACTGAATTCTTAAGGAAATTTAAATACTTCTCTGTAGAGGAATCCCAGATTATCAAATCCCTGGAGGTATTGAGATGTCATTTGATCTTTGCATCTATTTAATCGGACTTTTATGGATCAGGAAGGCAAAATAAAAATTTATTTCTTATTTGGCCAATTCAATAAAATGTCTCAAATGTAACAATTTTTGTTATTTCTCTTTGTAGTGGCTGATAGTTGTCTGAAGGAGAGCTATAATGGTATATGGGAAAGGGACTTGCTCTGGACTTAGAGATTCTAGCCTGAGTTCACGCCTACTTCTGCCACATACACTTGTGGCTTTGGAAAGTCACTTAACTTGTGACAAATCTAGTTCTTGCATCAGTGTCATATTCCATTATGTAAGTAAAGATCAAGTTACAGAGAATGAATAGATTTCTAGACACTGTACAATTTTGACTATTTTGCTCATTTCCTCCCTTTTCTGCCAGTGTTTTCAGAACATATTACCAAGTGTAGGTCTTCTTTAGACAAATGTCTTTCATGTTTTTCTCCCCATTTCATGACTGGATTGTTTGTTTCTTGGGTGTTGAGTTTGATAAGTTCTTTGAGTGAAATAAGCCAATCAGAGAAAGACAATTATCATATGGTTTCACTCATGTGTGGAATACAGGAAATAGTGAAAGGGACTATAAGGGAAAGGAGGAAGGAAACTGAGTGGGGGAAAAATTAGAGGAAGACAAGCCATAAGAAACTCCTAATCCTGGTAAACAAAGGATTGAAGAAGGGGAGGTGGGTGGGGGATGCGGTAACTGGGTGATGGACATTAAGGAGGCACATGATGAGATGAGCACTGGGTGTTATACTATATGTTGGCAAATTGATTTTAAATAAATTATTAAAAATTTTTTAAAAAGAATATGTTACCAAGCCTCTGAATATCTCTTTCTTGCCCACTTCTGGAAGTAGGCCTCTAAGCCAAAAATCCCATTCAGAGAACACCACAAAGCTATGATTAACTAATTTCATCTTTGCCTTTAATATACTAATGGACAGGTTTCTTTTCACTTTCACTAATAAGATATCTGGAATAGAAGATATGAAGGTGCTGCTAACTATTGATTCTATTCTAACTATTGTGAAGGTGGAGACTGTTTTTGTCTCATTCGTTGTTGTATGGAAAGGCTTAGGAAATAACCTAATACATTGTAGTTATTCAAATATTTATTAAATTTACTGGTTGATCTGAAGTACACTAGTTATTTAGAGATACCAAATCATATGCAATATTTAGTCAGCATTTTAGTATTGATTGATGTCTTAGTGTATTTGGGCTGATATAACAACATACCATAAACTGAATAGCTTATAAACAACAGAAATTTACTTCTTAGCGTTCTGGAGGCTGGAAGTCCAAGATTAAGGCATTGGAAGATTTGAGGCTACTTCTTAAATGGGTATCTTTTCACTGTATCCTCACCTGGCTGAAGGGACAAGGGAGCTCTAATCTCATATATGAAGACTTCCTCAAGATGACCTATTCATTTCCCTGCTGCCCTACTTCCTAATACCATCACCATGGTGGTCACAATTCCAGCATACGAATTTAGGGGGACACAAAGATTCAGACCATAGTGACCAATGTCTTTAAACTCAAAGCTACAATTCAACTCAAACAGAACTCCACACTTATTTTGATTGGAGAAACAATTAGTCACCACTATTACAGTACCACAGTAATCCTGTCAGTATCCACAGTACCTGACGCTAAACGGTTGATGTGTTGAGATGATTTTTGTGCATACAACAATTCACATATCCTAACATGGCAGGTAAAGTAGAAAAATTTCCAGAATGAGAACATGTAGTAGGTATTTCCTTGAGATTGATGGGTGATTAATGTTGGTAATTGAGGTGAAGGGGGAGAAAGAGTGATGTAGATTTCAGTTTTGTTTTAAGATGTTTTCTTTATATATGGTTTTTGTCTCCTTGTAAAAAGAAAATAAAATAAAAAGAGAAAGAGGAGGAGGAAGAGGAAGGGTAAGAAGAAAGGAAAAGAAGGAAATTTAAACATGAAAGGGAAGGAGAAGGAAGAAGAAAAGAAGATGGGATAGAAACCTCTAATGTTCAGAATTTAGTTAGTTTTATCTCCAAATCTTCATTCCAAAAATAATCTTGTATGGATCCTTAAAGTTGAATCAAAATAACACCGTGTCTTCAACTTGTCTTCCTAAGTAAGCTGGAGCAGTCAGGCCAACAGTTATCAGTGTCCTTCCCTCCCTTACATCTCTCTTTTGCATTAAGTCTACAAGGAAATAAGCCAACACAATTTAGTCCCCGACTCCCAGTGTAACAGCCATAGAAGAGAGACACCAGTGAAAAGCTAGTTTTGCTCTGATGACAAAGGTTGGGAGAGATGCAGTAAAAAGTCTGAGCTTGAGACACAAAGGGGTTGGCATACCTTGGGATTGCCCCATCCCATCATTTGGCCCAAGACCAAGCTACCTTGTTCCTTTAGCTTTCCCTGGAGTGGAAAAAAATGGCAACCCTCCTATGCAAATCATGATTAGAAGAAGCATTATGGTCACCTCCTCCATAAGCCACATCTTCCTGGAGGGGACACAAACCCCATCAAAGAGAGCTGAGAACCAAGAAATGAAGCTCTGACAACAGGGGCCATCTGCTTTTCTGTTCTTGTTTTTTGCTTGTGTGTATCTTTGTTTTTGTTCATTGACACAATAAATGACTATGTTTTTTTTCCCTAAGTGCCTGATGTTAAAGAAGTCTCCATGTGGGGGAAACATGAAGGTGGGCTTAGGAGGACTGAACAGGCTATAAATGATTAACACTGTCCAAAAAACCACAATGCCATCTGATGGTGATAGGAGAAAACAGACCCCTGGTGACTAATGCATTGAGAGTATAAGGGTTAATGAGTAAACCACATGTGTTCAGAACTGGGACACTGCAGTCACCATCTGCCTCAGAACACCTGTGTCAGTAACAAACCCAAGTCACATTTTTCTTTTCCTGCTACCTTATTGGACATTAACCCATCAAAAATGTTTTGTCTCTTTTTAGGTGAAAAAATTGAGGCAAAAGGAGAATAAATGGTGCCCCCAAAGTCATGTGATAAAGTGATGCAGCCTTAACAAGAAAGCAAACATTCTGTCTCCCAGATTTGTGTGTTACTAGAATGCTTGATAAGTTAACACCTCTCATTATATCACTGGTTTTAACATCAGGTGGGTTCTTTTTTGTTTTTAAAGATTTTATTATTCATTTGACAGAGAGAGAGAGAGGAAGCACAAGCAGAAGTGGCAGGCAGGGGGAATGGGAGAAGCAGGCTAGATGAATGCAGGACTCGATCCCAGCACCCTGACATCATGACCTGAACAGAAGGCAGTCGCTTAATCTACTGAGCCACCCAGGCGCCCCATCAGGTGGGTTCTGAATATCATTACTTTTTTTTTTTTTTTGCCATTTTTGTACTATGGTAAAATCCACATCACACCAAATTTCCCATTTTAACCGTTTTTAAGTGTACAGTTCAGTGGCATTAAGTACAGTCACACTGTTGTGCAACCATCACCGACATCTATAGAACCAGCTGAAACTCTTGCCCATGAAACAGTAACTTCCCATTTTCTCCTCCCTCCAGGCAGCCTTGGCAGCCAGTGCTGAATGCTATTTTACAGAAAGGGGGAAAAAAAAGTTGAGCGTAGTTTACAACCGAACATTGTAAGTAGATACAGGAGGCAGGAGGGAGGGGGTGGAGGTAGACATAGATTCGGAACTGACTACATGTAGGAGACTGTGACTGTGCGTGTGCGTGTGCGTGTGTGTGTGTGTGTGTGTCTTTAAACGATGCTCCACCTCCCAGCCCGCCTCCTCGCAGTTTGCCACAGGGTTTTGCAGTCTCCTGATTTCCTCATGCCCCCGAGGAGCCCGCATGGGCAATCTTCTTTGTAGTTTCAGAAGGTTTGTTGCCCTGAAGGTCGCATTCTGAGTTGAGGAGTGCAAAAATAACCCCTTGTTTTGCCTTTCCAAGATCTGCCCCAAAGATAAGCTGTTGCTCTTCTGGAAAGCCTGACTGGTAGGATTCCTTCAGGGGTTCAGCCCAAAGTGCTTCCTTTCGTCCCCTCACCAGCTTCACTGGCGATCAGAGCTTGCCAAGGACCTCTGGAGGAAAAGCTGCTGGATTCCATCATCTCACCCACAAATGGCTAATCCTGGAGGTGGTGCTGTTTGCAATGGGAATCTGCACAACCACGGGAAACAGAGTGACGGCTCACCGAGTGGAAACTGCGCGAAGAATGGGATAGTGAACGAAGCCCAGGTAAGAGGCCAGTACTCCGAGCCACTTGGACATTGCCTCTTTGTCTCTGATGCTGTTTGGGGCTGTCTGAACGGAAAGTCCTTTTCATGCAGGCTTTTATGGGTTTTGACACTTGAGCTAATGACAAATGCCTGGCTACGAAAAAGCTGAAGTGTGGCTTAAGGGGGAGAATGTCTTCGCTGTCCCAGAGCCTTAAACTCCCCGCAACACAAACAGACCTGCTGGACTCCTGCTTTCTGGTGGGCATTTGAGAGGGCAAAGTGCTGAGTGCTCAGACTCGGCTGAGTTTCAGTGCATCAAACACTCGCAGCGGGCTGCTCTCATCAGGCTTCAGCAGGGAGAGAGCCTGATAGTGGCTGTGCTGAGGTGACATGGTGGGGGCCGCATTTAGCCCCCCTCCCCCAGGACAAATGCCTCTCTGGCTGAAAGGCGAATTCTTTGTAGTGTTTAGTGGAGCATTGTCATGGCTTACAGCTTGATTTGGGGCCAGAGTCCTTCTTTGAAACGACATCACAGGCATTCCTTTCTGAGACACTTCAGAAAGTGTGGCTCATTGTTGCACAGTGCACACAGGAACTCAACAGGCCTCTCATTGTTTTCCCATTTGATACTTTTTGCCTCACTTGGCTCTGACAGAATGTTTGATGGGGATGTGCTGAGGAGGAGGAGGAGGAGGAACAACTTCAGAAATGCTGTCAGTGTATTCAAAGAGGGAGCCCCGGTGTACAGGTGTACAAGGCACCTGTGAAAAGGCAGCGCCCTCCTCGCATAATGCCCTCTGCTAAAGCAGCAGGGATGAGCTCACCTGCTTCAGGAGCAAATTAGCGTGGCCAAACAGGTAGCTTCACTCTTGGGAAATGAGGAGCTGGGCAGGGAACCCATGCAGTCCTGCATTACATATCCACCCCCATAGGAACCAGCATCCACCCAGGGAAAAAGTTAGATTGTTTTAAGATCACCGGACAGGCAGAGCTGGCTGGGGGCCAGTCCACCATCCAGGGAATTAAATTCGTGCTCCCAGTTGGAAGAAATGGGTGGGGAGGGGCACTCTGGAGCCCGGGGTGTGTGTGAAAAGGCTATGGTCCCAAAATGTGTTCCCCTCTTGACAATAAGCGTTATCCTAGGCTTGGAAGCTTCCATCAAAAACCTCAGGCCTGGCCTCTCCCAGCTGAGCATCTGAAACCTACCACAATATGAAGAGAAAACATTCGACTCCTATCTTTCCCGTGAGGACAATCCTAATAATATCCACCATCTATTTGTCAGTAAGTGTTGATTTAGACTGCTAACCACCCAAGATGCTCCTGGCCCTTGAAATGCTGGAAACACTGGCCACACACCTGTTCACCCTCTTAACCAGTCTGACCCTGAGGCCTGTCAAGGGGCAGAAAAGGCCTTCAAAGTTCTTCTGTCTCTTTTACTTTATCTTGGTTTTGTAACCACCTTCTAGTCTCTGAGGTTGGAAACTTAGCTCAATGGTTACAACCACCCCTAAGTAAGGATGAAGCTCAAGATCCAAAAAATCCATTACTAAGTGCTCTTGTAAAACGGAAAAGGTCCTTGAGCATCAAGGCCCTCTGTTAGAGCAGCACGAAATAAGAGGGCTACCGTTGCCTCTTCCAACAGCTCGCTCTGAAGGACTGTCCAGAACCTGTTTAGTTCAGATATATTTAGGTGTAACTAAATTGAAATTGGCTTCCACTGAAAGCTTCAGTTATGACTCGAAAAATATTTTCCAGAAAGAATAAACCGTGCTGAGCTTTTGGTGAGTAAGGCAGACAAGGGCCTGTTTTTCCCTCGTGGGTGATGTAGTCATCCTTAATGCATGATTGTGCATCACTAGGGTCAGTACATTTTGCTTTGGAGATCTTTAACCAACAGGTCTTAACCAAAAATCTTGCCACTTGCCAAGAGCAGTTCATAAAGGCTGACAGATATCCTGGGCCAGTAGTCCTCCCAACATGGTTCTGCCAGGCTCACGGTCCTATGAAGCGAGATGGAAGGTTCTCCCAGCTTCTCTCAATATCCTGTCACGCTTTCTCTTCCTGCTTCTTTGCAATCATACAGCAATATCTCTGTTTCTTTTGTGTGTCATGGGACCCAGTAAGACTCGGAACAGAGGGTTCCTTGGCATAAAAAGGAATATGAAAATCACTGTGAGGAATCTGAGGAATCTCTCTGGAACCCTCCTTCTCTTTGTTCTGGTGTAGCCTGGTTTCGACAGCCTAACACGAGTCCATCTCACTACCACCTCTCAGTCCTCTCAGTGTCCAGTTTAGCCAGGGAGCAGAATCCTTCTGTGTGGATGATTTCTAGCTCCTTTCTGGAGTTTTTTTTTTTGGAGCTCCACCTTATTGTGTGCGGTCTTCTCTTTAAACCCCATATGACCCAAGGATGCACTAATTCTTGGTTTTCATCACTGATTAAGTACCTTTATTTGTTCACTTGTAATATGTCATCCTACCTCTTACTTCTGACAGACAGTGCCTCAGTAACAGAACACTCTTGTCTAAAGCATTTGTTCTCCTTCTGCATGAGCATATCCATATAAATGTTGGAAGGGCCCTTAATATCTTAATTGAAACTTGATATTTCCTATTGATTACTTAATCCCTGTAAAATTAATTGGGAATTACTACTCACATAATTGCTTTTTTACTCCCACTCATTATGTCTTACCTGGCCATACATTCATATTAAGAAAGCCTGAGGCTCGGGAGGTAGTCCTTGTGTCTTCATTGCTCTGAGTACTGCATCGCCTTCAAGTTATTTTTTTATGGGGTGGGGTCTGCATTTTTCCCTCATTACACTGATCCTATAGAATCAAGGAAAACTGTTGAACTTTTCTCTAACCATTCCTTTCCTAGAAAACAAAAATATCCTGCAATTAGTTATTCTAATTCACTGAGTTCTTGACCTTGAATGTTATACTTTAAAACTGTAGTATAGACAGCCCTGAGAGGTAGTCACTCATCCAACCATCTATTCACTCACACATTAATATTTATTAAGAATCTGTTGTCCTTTGGACATATAAAGATGTACAAAAAGTGACAATTTAGCTATTAGGAGAAAGCTAAAGTTTAATAATAAATACATTAAGTGGGATCCCTGGGTGGCGCAGCGGTTTGGTGCCTGCCTTTGGCCCAGGGCTCGATCCTGGAGACCCGGGATCGAATCCCACGTCGGGCTCCCGGTGCATGGAGTCTGCTTCTCCCTCTGCCTGTGTCTCTGCCTCTCTCTCTCTCTGTGACTATCATAAATAATAAATAAAAATTTAAAATAAATAAATAAATACATTAAGTTAAATGATGGTACAGGACAAGAGCTGTCATAAAGCAATTATGAGTGAAGGACAAATGAGTGGTACAGATATTAAATATCAGAAGTTCAGAGAGGAGGAAAACAATAGAATGTATCAGTGGGTGTGCTACATATCAGGACTTAGCTAAACACTTTATGTAGAGACCTCCTGTACCCTCATTACAGCCCCATGAAGTGGTAGCATCATGCTCAATTTACAGGGGAAGAAACACAAGAGATTAAGGAACTTGTGCAGAATTATAAGCAGCATAGCCAGATTTGAACTGAAATTCTTATTGCTCCGAAGCCAGTTCGCTTTCTACTACATTCTAAGAAACTTCAGGTTGGGGTGGCCAGTGATGGCTTTGTAGAACAAGGAGGACTCATACTGAATCCGGAGACACTTGAAATGGTAGAACAAATGGGGAGTTTATTCCTGGGGGCTGAATGAGAGAAAGAAGGGAGAGGAGCCCCAGAAATGAATGTAAGCATTGCTAGGTGAGGGCATGGGAGCATAGGTCACAGAGCATTCTAGAAAGGAAGAGGGGTAAAAGCAAAGGCCCTGAGGCATGATGGAGTGTGGAACATTTGAGAAACTTCTCTCAATTTAGTGAGACTTCAGCATAAGAGGGAGAGGGAATGCCATGCTCAGGTGGTACTCGGTAAATGCTACATGAATGGGAAAGATTAAGCAGATTCATAAAAATCCTTCCTAGCTCTCTAACCATTGAATATGAGCTTCTGTACTCCTCACTTTTTCATATCCTTCTGTAGCCCACAATGTCCTGGTACATCTGCTTTTCTGTTACAATATAAACTCTAGACAGTGAGAACCATGACTTACAGTTTAATTGCACACAGTGGTAGCTGCCTGCCAGGCCCTTGTCAATATTTATATCTGTTGGGCCCATCTAGGCTGCACACTGCTTGAAATGGAGGTCAATAATCTCACCAATTATTAGGAGAACTCAAACTACAAGTCTTGGAGATCTCTTGCAACTGCTCTGAATGTTCATCCACTCTTGTCTTCCACGATCATTCTCTAGTACCTTTTGTTTTTTGTTTCTCATTTCCTTTAACAAATCCTCAATGTGACACCGTGATCTCCTTAAACAGTCTCATTTCTTCATGGGCTCATCATTCTAAAGCATTCCCACATGTTAGGTATTGCATCTATTCAGATAGGAATATTCTGACTCCATTTATAGTAGCTCACCAATGTGGCAGACAAGTAAATAAGTAATTATAATATTTAATGACAAGTTCTGTAATAGATGTTGCAGTTATCTATTTCTGTGTAACAACAATGCCAACTACCCAAAATTCAATAGTTTTAAACAACTGCTGATGATTTCTGTGGGCTAAGAATTCAGGCAGGCTTGGTGTGGGGATGGTTGTCTGTGCTCCATATGGTGTTTAATGAACATCCAGTATGGACCCACTGAGACCTTGGAACTGGCTGTTATCTGGGGGACCTTTTGTATCCACAAGTATATCCTCTCCATGTGGTCTTTCAATCAACAGAGTAGTTCAAGTTTCTTTACATGAAGGCTGGCTTCCAAGAGAGTGAAAATGCAAACTGCACGTCCTCTTAAGGCTTAGGTTCATGCTTACTTCTACCACATTCTATTGTCACAAGGCCAGCCCAGATGCAAGGGGAAGGGAAATGGGCTCTGCTTCTTAATGCGGTGAGCTTG